TCTGGTTAAACTTTATCAAGCCTTTTGCCAAAAAGACAAAGATATTGGACAAAGACATATCTTCTAGGCCATGAAAATGTAAGGAGAGAAAAATCACATGAATATACCCTCCTGTTTTTTGCAGAGTTCCAAATAAGTAGAATAAGCTACAGTCTCTTTTTATATAAAATAGTAATCCAGTTCTGTGTGCTAATAAGTAATTTGGATTTTAAAAAAAGGCTTCAGCTTTTAGTTGTTAAATGAATGTGTGTTAAACTACCTTTTTAGGGACTGAAACTGAAGTCCAAATTGGCTTATGTAGGGCATTTGCATTGTTATTACTCAATTAATTTAGTAGGATTGGTCTGCAGCTCTATTGTTAGCAATAATTATACTAAAATAGCCAAATATCCAGTTTTTGTGAGAGTTAAACATTTCATCACACATTGGCTGATATTAAATTTTCTTCAAACTGACAACTCTTTGGAGTCAGTTTAAAATTAATTGTTATATTCTAGTAAATGAAGTATTACTAGCAGAATTGACTGCTACAAATGAGTACGGAAATGCTAGCTGAAACTAACCTGTGATTTCAGCTGATAAAAGAAATGGAAAAAACATGACTAGTAAATTTCCCAAGAAAAACCATGCCCTTAGTGTATAACTAAAGGAGTATTTACTCCATGAAGTTTCTTCCTAGGAGAAAACCAAGTACCTAATGTAGCTACAGATGACTGTAAGAACAAGTTGCACTATAAGAGGATTTTATTAAACCTTATAGGAAAATGCTTATACTTTGTAGCTTTTACTAAATTCAGCTCTTTTAATGCACATGTCTATAATGTAATCAATGTTATCCCTATTTTTTTCAAGAAGAGAATTATCAAAATGTCAAATGAGTTGACCCAGTTTCCTCAGGGATTATTCATGGTGAAGACAGCGACTGTGCTCACTGTTCCGCGATGCTCAATCTTTTGCCCAGATCTCTTGGCCATAGGCTTTCCCCCACTATTTGACACTTTTACCATTTTCCAATAATCTCTTTCAAAACCAGATGTCATTATTTGAATTCTTTTCAACTAGCTGATAAAAGTTAAAATTTCCAGCATCTCAAACATTTGCTTCCTTTTCCATTACTAATAACATGAACTCAAAGTCACAACAGAAGCAATAGACACGAAACAGTTCATCAAGGATCTTTATCTAATAGTAGACCTGTTGTCTGTAGCACTAGTGTCCCTTACTGAAACTATTTCCACAATAAAGTGTTTTATTTTGATAAGTGTCCAATAAACCACACTTTGCTATTTTTAATTTCATAAACCCTCCCCAGGGATTGAAAATACCATAACTTAATTTCAAAATGAATGTGTGTATGACAAGGCTACACCTGAGACTTCAACTATTGCTTATAGGGCAAATGCTTTCTGGGCCTATGGTAGCTTTTTATTAGCTTTTGGCCAATTGATGTTATTTCTATTTTATCATGTCCTGCACACTCCCTTGATTTAAAGAAAATTTTATACAGGGTCAAATTGTTTACTCAGGGGCCAGTGCTGTAGTGCCGTGGTAAAGCCGCCACCTGCAACGCTGGTACCCGATATGGGCACTGGTTTGAGTCCCAGCTTCTCCACTTCTGATACAGCTATGTGCTATGGCCCTAGAAGGCAGTGGAGGATGGCCCAAGTGGTTGGGCACCTGCACCCATGTGGGAGACCCAGAGGAGGCTCCTGGCTTCCAATCGACCCAGCTCTGGCAGTTGCGGCTATTTGCAGAGTAAACCAGCAGATGGAGGACCTCTCTCTCTGGCTCTGCCTCTCTCTAACTCTTTCAAATAAAAAGAAAAATAAATCTTTTAAAAAGTTCTTTACTCAAATTTCTTAGCTTGTATGAAATTATACAATTGCAGCAATCACCTCAAACCACTGGCATACTAAGCTTGCTAGAGAGCATAGTATTCTGATATATCTACCTGTCCACCCTTCAAATGCCCTTGAATGGTAAAGATTCCCAAGTAAGAAATTAGACTTTCTCTCTTTAAAGCAAATCCACCCTAATCATTGAAAATAAAATGATTTATCATGCCTTTGTAAAAACAAAATGACAATTTATTAAATACATGAAGTATATATATCTTAAATAAGAGGTTTCGGGGAAAAAAAACAAAAGGATAGGTATTAACGACAGGCCAATATATTTTAATTCTGTACACACACACACACACACACACACAAACACTAACCTTAGAATTTGTCACTGTAGGTTTATTTTATGTTTCTTTGCTCACAAACCCTTTTAGCCCTTCTCTTTGGAGATTGCTTTTAGAACAGAGTTGATAGTTAAGAAAAGCACATGATCCCATTCTCTATAATCTTAGTAAACTTGATCAAAGTCTCACTCAATCAGATAATACATATTAATGATAGGATTTGACTTCAGATGGGTTTTGGCAGCTTCTAGAGCGAACTCAGCCATCTAGGAAGGAAAAATTTCCATCACTGAGAAGCAGGGAAACTCTTATATTGAAGAAATCTCTGAGTGCATTCACAACTGAACATTTATGACTCAACAAGACTTAACTTTTTTTTTTTTTTTTTTGACAGGCAGAGTGGACAGTGAGAGAGAGAGACAGAGAAAGGTCTTCCCATTTGCCGTTGGTTCACCCTCCAATGGCCGCCGCGGCCGGCGCACTGCGCTGATCTGATGGCAGGAGCCAGGTACTTCTCCTGGTCTCCCATGGGGTGCAGGGCCCAAGTACTTGGGCCATCCTCCACTGCATTCCCTGGCCACAGCAGAGAGCTGGCCTAGAAGAGGGGCAACTGGGACAGAATCTGGCGCCCCGACCGGGACTAGAACCCGGTGTGCCGGCGCCGCAAGGCGGAAGATTAGCCTATTGAGCCGCGGCGCCGGCCCCAACAAGACTTCTTTACACTCTGTCATCCTTCATGGTTTTCATAGACCTTGGACTTCTAATCAAGTAGCGCGTGTAGAGGTTTCCCAGCACAGAAGCTCTCTTCCATCACTGCATCATTTTGGCTAGTAATGATTCCATTCCCAGAAGTAACAACTTTGAAAAGCCACATGAAGATGATATACCAATATATCCATCTTTCACTGGAGGCCCTGATACAGCTCTCAGAACTAGCAATTAGGAAGGGAGGCTTGTCATAAAAATGACTGATTTCACTTTGTGATAGCAGCTTCTCTAGTTATGGAAGCATATCGTACAAAGACCAGAGAAGATGCCTTAGAAATACATGTCCACATTCAACAAAAACTCATATGATCATTAGGGGGAAAATCACTGTCAGGAATCAGTGCAAATAGTTTTTCTTTTTAACAATGACAACAATGCCTGAGCAACATCCTTGCCTAAGAAGAAATGAACTCAACGTAGCTAAAACTTAGGCAAACTCCATGCAGAATCAGTGATGGCAATTCTTTCTGCTGGTGACAGAAAACACAGCAAAAGGCATAAGGATGAGGTATTTCAATAGCTGTTGGTCCAGTCCACACTTATACTGACAGCTTTCTATTCATCTTATTGGGATGGTTTCTTTCAGAATATATCACGTTCTATTCAGGGAAAAGCGAGGCAGCATATCCTCCATGACTTCGACATAGGCCAGTAATAATAAGTGAATTAGCAATGGTGCTGATACTAACTGGTGAAATCTACATTCTTAGTGAGTAGATGAATGTGTGGTGTACACTGAGGATGGACAGGAGTACAGAACGTTTTTCTGGACACATGCTGGTATTTGAATAGCTGTTTTGTTCACTAAAATAAAACTATTGTATTCCTAACAGGATGAGAGAAGTGGATCAGTGATGAAATATTAAACCATCTCAGTCTTTAATCACCTTCATCCACTTTTAAATTAAGGGCAAGGGATTCATTGGCTATTTAAATCTACCCTGTCTGTCTGACACAAAGTATGTAAGGACTGACTGCTTCCAGGCTCATTGCTTTTCCCACCACCTCATGTTGGTTTCTTATATACAAATAGTTGCTGATATTATCTCGTCCATGCCTACGCACAGAAGCAGAGTTTCATAACACTAACTCAGATTTAGAGGCCGAGGTTTCCAGATCATGTAGTCATCCTGCTTTGTGAATTGGTTTCTTTCTTCAGAGAAGTTGACACAACACATGGGGACACAGGCAAAAACGTTCATTTAAAATTTAATAGTGACCAAGTGAAATTTAATCCACAAATCTACTATGTATTGATTCTCTGCCTTAGTACCTCACAGGGGTACATCTATAATATACTTTGATCCCATTTTTATAATGCCATTGTCTTTGAATCCTTAATCTTCCATTTTATCATTTCCTATTCCTTTAATTTCCAAATGAACAGACACTTTCTTTGATAAATAATTCCATAGCAACAAGATATGTAGCACCTTTCAAAAAATGAAATTATGTCTCTGATGATAATGGCAGTGAATTACTGCAACAGATGAGGAGAAATCCAATAGCACCTAGAGATAGCAGTCCTTTCTGATGAGGCAACGGGGATATAAATTGCCCAAAGCCAACTGTGTTTGTTTATGTGAATAAAACAACTACTCTTCAAAAGCTAGGGCCAGTGAAAGGGGAAATTTTTCATGGGTAATCACCCGTTTTCTCAGAAGAGAAATACAGTATCTCCCCAGTGACTGCTTCCCATTTGTCTGGATGATGTGGGTAAGGTGCAACAATGCTTTTTTCCAGAGACATTCGGCTATTGCAATGCATTTATATTTCTTCCAAATAAAATCAGAAAGGCATTCTCTATCACCTTTCTCGCCATGGATGTGATGTGTGGGAATGGATGTCTAACCAGAAAGTCAGACCACCTTTGGGCATTTTCACAGCACTGCTGCTGACCAATCTGAACTGTCAATCTTTATTCATGAAAAAAGTTTCCTAAGGGAAAGGTTAGAGCTTTATGGCAGTCTGAACTATAATAGATGTTGATCTGGTGTTGACAAATATGTGCAGCGAGAGGGAAACAATTCACAGAGAATCTAAGTTCTGTGGTTAGGCTTCATCCTTTATTAGGTAGTGAGTAAAAGACAACTGATGCTTACAGCTCCAATTGAAGAGACCATTTAAACAAAAGTGGTTCCATAGCGAAGTGAGGCAGAAGGGATCCAGATATTTCTGAGTTTTCTCATATGGCTGATGGAGAAAATATGGCTGATTTGTTTGTTCCCAGCAAATCATTAAAGTTATTAATGCCTGGTGACCCAGGACTCTGTGTGTTCACAGGCCCTGGCTTCTAGCAGACTGGCTCATTCACTTTGGTGGAAATGGGGAAGAACAACAAAAGCACATTGCAGGAAGATTGCATCAATTAACAAAAGTTCTCCAATAGAAAGAAGTTCCTTAGCTATAAAGGTTGTTGGATGGGGATTTGGGATGACTACAATAACAGATCAAAGTAGTTGGCAGAACAGAAAAAAAGGAAACTAAAGTTCAAAATGCTTAGAAGCTGATCACATGGTAAAGCCACCAATTTATGTGAAATTGTCCAACTGGTTGAAATAGCAGGGTCCATAGGTGTAAAAGGGTAACGTTTGCTAAAACCAGAGAGTAGAGATGTTGATAAATACAAACTTATGGGATACCTTCAAAAACAAATTAACCACAATGTTATCCAATACGTTTAACCAGACAGGCATGGTTTGCAATTCTTTTTTACCAGAAGATCGATGGAATACATTTTCTTTTCTTCTTTCTTCCTTTCTTTCTTTCCCTCCTTACTCCTTTCCTTCCCTCCCTCCCTCCTTTCCTTCCTTCCTTCGCCCATTTTGTTTGGTTGTTCGTTTAACAAAAGATAAATAAAGTCAACTGCCTTAAATATATATTTATGTGACAAATTTCTACAGTTAGATGGTGGAGATATACTCCAAAGACGATGTTCAATGTTGAGCACCAAGCACGCTATGGTTGTTTCATAAATATAAAATGAGAAATGCTAAATACCTATCTCTCAAATGGTTTCGTCTTGATTCTTCATATCTCTCTAAAGGCTACTACCATTTAGATAAGAGTATTTTCAGGAAGGCCACCTCCAGCCTTCCCTATATTTTTAAATAATCTTTACAAAACCTTTTCAAAAATAATTTTTTCTCTAAATCTAAATCATGTAGGGTTGATTTGTACATGGTTTGTCCTTGCTCTATGTTTGAGTGTCAATGTTCTTATTAATGCAACAGACTGGCTGCATCAAACCCCACAGTATTGACAAGTATGTCTTAGCTTTCTATGGGAAAAAGCAAATAGCCTTTATCACAAATTAAAGGCACAGCTATTTTATGCCATTTGTTACCAACTTAATGATAACATGTAACACTGGATGGTTATAGAATTATTTCATATAGATTTCTTTTATAAGTTATTCTCTTAATCTTTCTAACATATATACAATATACATATATTTATATATACCCCTGATAAATCTTGTTTTAAAGGTAAAACATCAACTCCATTCAGCCTAATTGTAACCAGAAAAGGCTGTCAATATTTCACAACTCCACTGGGGAAGTGATGGTCAAGTGGACCTTACCAGTATTTTTTTTAACACTACATCATTGGTGTGCAATGAACTCAGCTTCATTTTTTCTCTTGTTGTTACTAACATTTAAATATATATTAATTGTTTATATCATGTCAGTAGGAAATCTAAAATACAACAATAAACCCATAACAATAGCTAATGCTTAATTCTACCATCACTTAAAGCAGTAACTTTTCCTAAGAGACAACCCTACTGGTATGATATAAAGGGCATATTACAGAGACACAATCTTCTCTGTATTTATTGGATATGTACTAACATGAAAGATCTTTACTTTGAATTGTCATTCAAGGTTATGATTGTTTCTTAACCTTGAAACAGAAGAGATGTACTGATTTCTTTCCAAATGCCCATGATACATGGGTTTATCTGTTTTCAGATATAGGTTTTATTACAAGCACTTCTCTGTTTCCAGCAATACTTCTTCAGGGTGGGAAATCAGTATTTGTAATAAATAACCTTTATTAATGGCTTCCCTACCTCTAAGAGTAACCCTGTTCATTCTTCAAGCTTAACAGGGGAGGAGAACGCCGGCCAGGGAGGCCTCCAGGATAGCATCTTGTGTTTATATTTTGACTGCTTACTGGTATGAAATACTTGTTCGTTTTACCTTTTGCAATATTTTGAAATCTAATGGCATAGATTGAGACACAGCACTATTGTTGAACAAGACATCTACTGTATCTACTTTTGTTGGGATAAATACCCAATAATTGCTGTCATAGCAAGAGGACCAGCACGGGTACTACTATTCACAGTGTTGCTTTTGTTTTTGTTTCTTTTTTTTTTCTTTTTTCACATTGTTTTAATCTACAGAGTAAATTATTATATATACATTGGAACCAGTTAATGCCCTTAGACAATGTATAGTTGTTTCAGAGAGCAGGAAAGACAATGCAGGGGGAAACAGGTGCCCAAAAGCACAGTCACAAGGCTTCAGAAGTTCTAGATAATACTACAGGTCAATGCTGGAGATCACTTCTAAAACAATCAAGATTCAAGAGGAATGCTTTAATTTGGAGAAAATACCACTCCCTCCCTCCTGCCCCTATACTCCCCACCCCCTTTTATTATCTTTTCAATTCACTATCAAAAGTCCTGGCTCTTCAGATATACTTTAAACTATAAATAAACACTGCATAGTTCTCTTTGTTTTTTGTTTTGTTTTGTGAAAAATTATTGCAGTACAATTATTCCCGTTTGGAATTTAGTAGGGAGCAAACAGCACGGGAGTGTGGGCGGTCCGAATGGGCCCGGGAGCTGGCCTCAGGAGTGCGGGCGGAAGAGCGGAAGTCTGGAAGAGGGTGGCTGCTGGAGCCGTGCGCAGGCTGAAGGGGGAATTCACGGCCACGGCGGCGGCGGCGGCGGCAGCTGCCAGCGGGTTTGGTAGAATCCGTGGAGCCAATGGCTTTGAAGGTTCTTTTGAAAATACTAATTTTACCTGCAAGGGGAGAGACACAAGGAATAGAAGAACAAAGTTTGGGTGTCTGTTCTTAAACCTCAACGTGGTTGGCAGCTTTAGAAATACAGCAGTAAAAACTAGAAAGATACATTCACACTTGTGAACTGACAATTGAAAAAAATGGAGGGTGTAGAATATTTGCCGGCTGAAACACATGAGAGGTACCTGAAAATGACCCACCAGAAAAATACTCAGCGATGTTATTTTATTTTGTTTTTGTTGGAAGTTATAATTCCAGAGGAAAGCATCCATCTTGAGAAAAAAATAGGAAATTTTTATGCCACTCTTTACCTCACATTAATTGTCAAGGAGGAGACTTTTTTTAAAATTAAAATAATTTTTTTCTTTTTATTTGAGAGGCACAGAGACAGAAGAGGTTGGGGGAGATACAGACAAAGAGTTTACGGGTATACTCATAAATGCCTGCTAAGACCCAGCTGGGGCTATAGCTGGGAGCTGTGAACTTGATCCACATCTCCCATAAGTAGCAAGAATCCAACCACGTGAGCCATGACTGAAGTCTTCCAGGGTACAAATTAGCAGAAAATGGGGTTTGGGAGTCAGAGCTAAAGGTTGAATACAGGCATTCTGTTATGGGATGCAGAACAATAGCCCACCCAAAGGCCTTCCATAAAAAACAGAAATTGAAAGAATTTGTCACCATTCACCCAGGCTTATAAATGATGCTTAAGGATGTGTTATACACAGAAACACAGAAAGATACTCATAATTATGAAAAAATGTGAAAGCAGAAAATCTACTACTAAAAGTACAAAGGAAATCCAAAGAAATCACTAAGAGGTCTAAGTCATTACTTATCAATAGTGACCTTGAATGTAAATGGCATAAATTCTCCAGTTAAATAATATAGATTGGCTGAATAGATTAAAAAACAAAACCCATCTATTTACTGCCTACAAGAAACCAACAAATATACATGAAGACTGAAACTGAAAGGTTAGGAGAAGATATTCCATGCTAATGGAAAGAAAAAACAAGCAGGTGTATCCACCCTAATATGGAACAAAATAGATGTTAACTCAAAACTATTAAAAGCGACAAAGAAAGGCATTATGTAATGATTAAGAGATCAATTCGACAGGAAGATGTGACTGTAATAAATGTATATGGACCCAATGACAGGGCATCTGGCTGTTAAACAAATGTTAAGGGATCTAAAGGGAGACAGAGATTCCAATACAATATAATGGAGACTTCAGCACCCCAATTTCATCAATGCACAAATCAACAACATAGAAAATCAACTAAGAGACTGGCGCAGTGGCTCACTAGGCTAATCCGCCTGCAGCGCCGGTACCCTGGTTCTAGTCCCAGTAGGGGCGCCGGATTCTGTCCCGGTTGCTCCTCTTCCAGTCCAGCTCTCTGCTGTGGCCCAGGAGGGCAGTGGATGATGGCCTAAGTCCTTGGGCCCTGCACCCGTGTGGGAGACCAGGAGGAAGCACCTGGCTCCTGGCTTCAGATCGGTGCAGTTGGGGGTGAACCAATGGAAGGAAGATCTTTCTCTCTCTCTCTCTCACTGTCTAACTCTGCCTGTCAAAAAAAGAAAATCAGCTAAGAAATAAGAGTTTATCTACACTATGGGCCAAATGGAATTAACTGATATCTATAGAACATTACATCCCACAGTTGAACAATGCACATTATTTTCATCAGTTACTCATATGAAGAGAAATTTACCAACTGTGTGACCAATTATCTCTGAAAAACAAGGATAGTTAAGCTGGGGGAGGGGGGTGTTAGATACTACAAATAATGCAATTTTGACTGCCTTTCTTTTTGTTTAGGAAACATTCATTTGATGGTCAAAATGTACCTGTACCTGTTGGGGTCAGTGCATAGTATGCTAAGCCCCCGCCTTCTGTGCCAGCATCCCATATGGGTACTGGTTCAAGTATTGGCTGCTCCATTTCCCATCCAGCTCCCTGCTAATGCACCTGGGAAAGCAGCAAAAGATGGCCCAAGTCATTGGGTCCCTAGATCCATGTGGGAGACCCCGAAGAAGCTCCTGGCTCCTGGCTTCAGATCGGCCCAGTTCCGGACATTGCAGCCATTTGGGGAATGAACCAGCAGATGGAAGACCTCTCTCTCTTTCTCTCTCTCTGTCTCTCAAATAAATAAATAAATCTTTAAAAAAAAAAAGCTATACATATGCAGGCCTGAATAGCACTACAGTTTATCACAGAAATATCAGGTGTGCACAGAATTCACAGCCTCCAGTGCAGCTAAAATTGCTCCAGTAGGAGAGTAAAGTGGATGCACAAAAATGGTCCATACTGGGGCTGGCGCCGTGGCTCACTTGGTTAATTCTCCACCTTGCGGCGCCAGCATCCCATATGGGCGCCGAGTTCTAGTCCTGGCTGCTCCTCTTCCAGTCCAGCTCTCTGCTGTGGCCCAGGAGGGCAGTGGAGGACAGCCCAAGTCCTTGGGCCCTTGCACCCCATGGGAGACCAGGAAGAAGCACCTGGCTCCTGGCTTTGGATCAGCCCAGCACGCTGGCCGTGGCAGCCATTTGGGGGGTGAACCAACGGAAGGAAGACCTTTCTCTCTGTCTCTCTCTCTCACTGTCTATAACTCTACCTCTCAAATAAAAAAAAAGGGGGGGGCATACTGCCATACTACATTAATTGGGTTAAACCAGACTGGGATCTCATAATAGATTTAGTTTTTCATTAACCACACATTCATGTGTCAGCAGCACACAATAGCACCAATATTAACAAGATCTATTTGAAGAAAACATTTCAAAATCACAACTCTGCAGACACTGTAGGGTCAGTTCTTAATTTTTTGTTGTGCTTTTGGTCTCTGATGAAAGTGACAGTCATGTCAACCTTTAATGAGTTCAGCCATATTAGCCCGCAATGTCAGGAGGTCTCACAGACTTCCTCTAAAGCCCTATCCAAAAATGCAGGAAGGGACATTATACCAGCATGCTTACTAAATCTAAGGTGCTTATTAAGAGGCATGGGGACAGAGTATTTTCCAGGATCTTACTTCTCAGGCCTTATTTAATGTCTCTGAGTGAATAACTAAATAAAATTAAGCTATATTCCTAAGATTGTGTTATTCAAAACCTGAAATTGTTGAATGTAACAACCACACCAATGCTTTGTCTCTTAAATATATTACAAAGGAATTGTAAGAACTTGTTTGTCGCTGACTCTCTTTCCTACAAGTATCTACGAACATCTACACTAGATGTCACAGGGTTCCTTATCTGACTTCCAAAAGTCTGGCATTTCTCTTTTCCCTGGGCACTGTGATAAACCTGACCCCAACTCATAAAGACAAGAACCTGGGCTGTGGCTGAAGCCACTGATGCCATCTAGTAGAGGCCCAACTTTTAGAAAACACAGGTGGAGCAGACTGAGGTTCACTAAGGACAGTGTAGTCTCGTAGGGAACGCCCATCGACACTCACCCCCAGCGGATGCGCTGCTTTCTGCAGTTTGTTGTAAGGGCTGTATTTAGGTTTCGGGGGCTTCCCAGCAGCTCTGTCTTTGTGCCTTCGACTGCTGATGTGCTATTAAAAGCAATTAAAAATGACAGCTTTGAAAAAAGTCATGCAAAAAAACACTTTCACAAACATTATTGTAACCTAGGGCAAGGATATTCAGTATTTCATGGAAGTTTCAGAAAGAGAACAATAAAAGAGCATGCACTTTGTCCTCAGATTCTGGTTCCCTGAGGATATATATTTTTATTCTATCTATTTTAGTGTATTTTTAACAAACAGAGAGATCTTTTTCCCCCCAGTTTTTTCCCCTTATCACTGCACACGTCTCCTTTTTTAGAAAAGCATTTATGAAAGAAAGGAATGTCTAAAGGAATTTTATGTGCAAATAAACAAAGATGCCCAGGCAGGCATGAATTTATTTCCATACTAATATTTATCTTCACATTTGTACAGTCAAATGCCAGCCCTTTAAATTCTAAAGATAAATAACTAAAGCTGCATAAAATCAGCAAAATATTGTAACATATACAAATAAAACAAAACACAATATGAGGGCTGTGCCTTTAGCTGGAAATGTAGAACTGATCTCTTAGGAAGGCTATTCAGAGCAAAAATGAAAGCAACATGATTAGTCATCCCTTCAGCAGGTGGCTGCAGGATTCAGAAATACAGTATAATACCACATAAAAGTACACAAAATAAAAGCAAAGCACAGTACAAAATTAGCTTTAGCACATAAATATCTAAATAAGTAAAAATGGAACATTGCACGTTGACCTTTACAGAAAATCAACACTTTCAAGTGGAAAATCTGATAGAGAAAAAGATCTGATGTCCCTTCCCCTCCCATTTTTCATATACACGAATAGCACAAACTCACTGCTAACCACTTCTACAAGTATTCCCTCAGCAACTTAAGTACGTGCAGGTATATAAGGACAGCGAACAAGAGGTAAGTGGGTAGATGCATGCGTGGGTGCATGGATGGAGGCAGAAATGAGAGAAAACAGAAAGGAAACAGGCACAACCAGTTCACGTGAGTGTGCCCTATCTTTTTTCCTTAGACTGTCCTCTGCCCACCTGTTTTAGTTGTGTTTCTGAGTTGACGTGCACATCACAGATTTCACAGTGAAACGTTTTGTTTTGGAGGCCCGTGTTTCCCTTATTAACAGGTCCTTTGCCTTTGACGCCTGCCCTAGGAAAGGCTTTGATAGTCCCGCTTCCGTTCCGGGCTTCTAGCATGGTTTTGTGCTTAGTACCTGCAAGGAATATTTAGAAAGAAAGAAAGAAAAAGAGAAAAAGAAAAAAAATCTTGGCTATCACATACCTTCAAGAACAATAATACAACTTGATGCCTCATTGTAGTGTAGTTCTTGCAGAGGTTATGGCTGAAATACGGTTATGCCGTGGTAGACTGTTCCACTGCTCCCATCACCTTCCATAACATTATTAAAGTATCTAATTTGGCTGATGTTCCACATAACCAACAAGCACCATCAATACGGTAACTAAACTTGAAAGTCCTACAGCTAAATTACAGGGGAGTGACTTGCCTTCATTTCCTCCTGATGCTAATAAGACATAAATGATAGCTGATGAGGAAGATTGACTGAGCTGCTAAAGGTACAGTTGGAGGTGATGTGTACAAATGTAATCAGTTTAAGCATGGTATGTTTATAGAAGTGGTTCTAATTAAATACCCACTTCCTAAACGGAATACAAACATGATTCCATGGTTGTGCATTTTAGGTTCAAAGAGAAAGAGTAAGAATATAAATATATATTTTTATATGGCTGGCGCCGCGGCTCACTAGGCTAATCCTCCGCCTAGCGGCGCTGGCACACCGGGTTCTAGTCCCGGTTGGGGCGCCGGATTCTGTCCCGGTTGCCCCTCTTCCAGGCCAGCTCTCTGCTGTGGCCAGGGAGTGCAGTGGAGGATGGCCCAGGTGCTTGGGCCCTGCACCCCATGGGAGACCAGGAAAAGCACCTGGCTCCTGGCTCCTGCCATCGGATCAGCGTGGTGCGCCGGCCGCAGCGCGCCGGCCGCGGCGGTCATTGGAGGGTGAACCAACGGCAAAAAAAGGAAGACCTTTCTCTCTGTCTCTCTCTCTCACTGTCCACTCTGCCTGTCAAAAAAAAAATTAAAAAAGAATATAAATATATATTTTTATTTGTACTGACTATTTATTTATATAGAGAACAGATTTCATGTGCTTCATATATTCAATTTGAAGCCCATGGTGATACTTCCCACCCTACCATTCCTCCTTCCTTTGTCTTTCCTCCTTCCATTTTATTTTTCCCTTTTAATTTTGTGCTAACATACTTTCCATTTACTTTATAGTCACAATCTTAATCCTCTACTTAATAAAGAATTCATCAAGTAGAAAGTAGAAATAGCACTGTTCCACCAGAGTATAGACAGGAGCTATAAACATAATCAAATCTCCTGATGTCAAGTTCACTCTTTTTTTTAACTTTTATTTAATAAATATAAATTTCCAAAGTACAATTCTTGACTTATAGTGGCTTTTCCCCCCATAACCTCCCTCTCACTGCAACCAACCCATCTCCCACTCCCTCTCCCATTCCATTCACATCAAGATTCATTTTCAATTATCTTTATATACAGAAGATCAACTTAGTATATACTATTTATAGATTTCAACAGTTTGTACCCACACAGAAACACAAAGTATAAAGTACTGTTTGAGTACTAGTTATCCCGTTAATTCACATAGCACAACACATTAAGGACAGAGATCCTACATGGGGGAGTAAGTGCACAGTGACTCCTGTTGCTGATTTAAACAATTTCACTCTTATACATTACAGTTTTTGTACTCTATAAATTAGCTACCACAAATTTAAAAAAAAATGGTATTTAATATATTAATGAAAGAAAGCCATGTTAGGATATTAGAGCCCACCATGTAATTTCAAATGTAACAAAGGACCAATAAAATGAGAGGTCAGCTCATAGTCAAAGTAGATATACTACAAATTAATATCTATTTTTAATAAACCAATAACATTTGTGGGCTGTCCCACCTATTTTATGTAACATTACTTATCAATTGTTAACAATATTTGTATTTGCTGGATCACTATTGTTATATAAAGCTCATGATGTCCCATATTCTCCCCAAATGTTGCTCAAAATTTCCTTTCTTTTAGAGTTCATAAGTACATTTATCTTTCTGACAGTGATTTGGTATGAAATTTTCTTTTATAATCATTTGTATCATTTCTGCCAGTTATTTTGCAAATCCTTTTTAGTAGTTTCTGCTTCCTAATTGCATTTATTAGATTGTTCGTCAGTTCTGCAGGCATAAGAACAGAACAATTGCGTATCAAGAAGGATGTCATGTAGGGGACACTCTGGTGAATACTGAGCACATCTGTTAAATAGGAGAAAATACATAACACAAAGCACGCGCACAGCCATAGGTTTCTCTCGTTCAAAGTGGTCAGAGAACTACTGAGTCCAATATTATAAAATCGTAGGTTCTTACAACATAGAATGTCCACTTTTAACATCCATATTATTATGCAAGGCTATTAAAATGTTCCTGTCGCAGCAGGTTAAAGAGAAGGAAGGCAGAGTCTTGGAGGGAGATGGGAGGGACTGAAACATGAAGCTCCAGAACTGTTGCCAGTGGTGTTTGTGAGATCCCTCACTGAGCTCTGCTGGTGCCCATCCTCCCTGTATTGCAGGAGTCACAGATGCTTGCCCCTTCATCTGAAGGTTCACAGTGAGACACGGGGAAAAACAGTCCCAGGGAATAAGAACCATCCCAACAGATGATTTTATCAAACAATTTCTTTACCCCATAGCCCCTTCAGCCAAATTGAGAAGCATTTTGTGAGGCTAGTTTGGCTTATGAATACTTGGGAAAGCAACAGAAGATAAATTATCATCCTGACTTCCCTGAATGGCTCCTGATTCACTTTGGTTTCATATCTTTTATAATTAGAGGAGTTCAGACTCCATAGGTTTGGAATACAGATAGGGTAGAACACTGAGTTAACCCACTGCACAATATCTATGTAATGTATCTTGCCTGGGAAGAGAAAAAGGCCAGACATGGATGGCTTGCCTCAACATCGAGTGTCAGGTGAATTAGGGAGATGAGAGGGAATCTGGAAGATGGGGCTCCAGTAGCTGGTTTAGCAGTAGCAGGAAAAGATACCAGAAGTAACATGCTCCTTGGCATATGCTTGGTAAGCTAAGTCACACCTATGTGGTGTTCCTTAAAGAACAGTAGACATGGGACATAAGGGGACACTGGAGAAAACCCATCCTCTCCCAAAATCATTGAGTTATTGAAATTATGATTGCAGTGTAATCTCTCCATGGAAGCCAGATAATGTAAAAAATTAAATATATTCACCCATTCATGCCTTATGCATAGACACATGCACACACACATACATGCTTAAAACACGGCAAGAACTAGAGGAGAACTAATGGCTCTGATTCTGGGGCTGCTCTTCATCAGACGGCATGAGACTTCTGTATAATACAACCTCAAGCATTTAGTAACTGATTGTCAATCATAATTAGTATTTAGATAGTTTTACAAGATTTTGGAATTTGAATAGCTTTGTAAGGGCTGCTGTATTTCCTCCAAATACAGATAAAATTAGAACCTTAAACCATTTTCATTTATGAGAGTTAAAACATGAATTCACTAATATACACTTACCGATATTTAGAGCTCATATTGATTGATCTTCAAACATTAGACATACTGTATTAAAATTCTGAACTGCTCACAGCTGCCATATGAATGAAGTACTGTGATTACTCCCACTTCAGAGATAACAAAGTGAGATTTAAAAAGGTTAAGTTAGTTGCCTGTGGTCACGAAGCAGGAACCACTTGAAGTAGTTGGCAGGTAGAATGTGGATTCCTCTTTGTAAAAAAAGATTATTTTATTTGTTTCAAAGGCAGAGCTACAGAGAGAAAGAGAGAGAGAGAGAGGGAGAGAGAGAGAGACAGAGAGAGAGGTCTTCCATCCACTGGTTCACTCCCTAGATGGCTGCAACCCCTGGGGCTGGGCTGGGCCCCCTGCATGTGGGTGCAGGGGTTCAAGGAACTGGGCCATCTTCTGCTACACTCCTAAGTGCTTTAGCAAGGAGCTGGATTGGAAGTGGAGCAGTCAGGACTTGAACCTGTGCCCAAATAGGATGCCAGCGCTGCAGCCAGCTTTACCTGCTACACCACAATGCTGGCCCTGGAACTTGGATCTCTAAGTCCCTAGAAATCCACTAAGGATTTCTGAAACATCTGGATTCAGTTGCACATAGCCACTTTACCTTTTTATTTTTATAGTTTTTTCTAAAGTTAGATTTTCACTAGAGTCTTTCAAATTCCCCCATCTGCCTTTTTTTTTCTCCTAATGCTCTTCTCTGCTTAGCAGAGGTCAATGAATCATGATGCTTAAAAAGGCCTTTTAATGGCCAATGATGTCACCTCTGTTTCAGCACTGTGTAAACAGTTTGCAAAGCTCATGCCTTCCTCTGTGACTGCTCAGCAGGGCACTCACAAGTCAGATTCTGCACTTGACTCCCTCCTCCTCTGAGGAAAGAGTCTACGTGAAGCTAAGTGGACTATTTTCCTCTCGACATTTCTGAAAAGTTGACTCTGACAATGGCCTTCATTTGAAGCGTCAAGATTTCTGAAAGGGGAAATATACTCCAAACACAGTTTAAATTTGGCAGATTTATAAGGTTCTAAGAAACCCTGGGTGTATCGGATTTTACTTGTTTTGTCTGTTTTTAAATACTTTTTCAAAGCAAGGTATGTATTCCTCTCATATTTCTAAAAATCAAAGTAATATGGGAGGAAGGGCTAGTTCTCTCTTTCACTCCCCATCCTCTTGACAACTTCCCTTTTTTTAGCTGACTCTCAAGTCAAGTACTGGAGTAAAGGAAAGGTAGAAGAGCAAGAAAACTGGGAAGACTTTAAAAAAATAATTAAATAAGTCATTCATTAAGACTAAATTTTTAGGTCATTAGGAAAATTGAAGAAACTAATAAAAACAACAAAATCATAATTCTGCCAGAAACAAGTATATAAAAATAATAATGGTCATTACTACTTCCTTATTTATTTTCTAGTTGTATGTATACATTTAGATTTTTAATTTTTTAAATATATTTATTTATTGAGAGAGAAAGAGAAAAGGGAGAGAGAGAGAGGAGAGAGACATCTCCCATCCATTGATTCATTCCCCAAACACCTGAAACAGCT